GTGTTGTGTGGTGGTGTTTTTTTCATGTTGTCTTTGAGCTTGTTTTTCTTTAGCCATTTGCATTGAGTGTATTAATATTTCATAAACCTTTACATGTAAGGCAAGTGGAAATGCTTCCAAATTTTGCATCTTTCCATGATGTTACAAAGAGTAAGATTTTCTTTTTTTTTTTACACTGAGTAGTATTCCATTGTGTAAATGTACCACAGTTTTTATCTACTCATCTACTGATGGACACATGGGCTGCTTCCAAATCTTGGTTATCCTATATAATAAAAGGCTAATATGCAAATTGACTGAACTGCAGAACAACTGGTTACTATGATGTGCACTGACCACCAGGGGGCAGACACTCAATGCAGGAACTGCCCCCTGGTGGTCAGTGCACTCCCACAGGGGAAGCGCTGCTCAGCCAGAAGCCCTGTGGCAGCGCTAAGCATGTCCGACTGCCAGCTTAGGCCCGCTCCCCATACTGCAAGAGGGTGCAAGTCACACTGAGGGACACCTGGAGTGCATGAATTTTTGTACACCAGGCCTCTAGTAAAGAAATAAAACCCAGTTAAAACCCCAGTTATACATACATGTATGTCAGGAAATTGGCTTTATTCATTGAAAGATTGACTCGGGTTTAAATCCAACACTGTCTCAAACATGGGATATGACAGAAATAGCAGTCAGAGGTAGCATGTCCTCCATTGTCAGGTAAGTGTAATAAGGTCACGGTTGTAATGATGTAGTCAAGGTAAACAAAGACCCATTGACAGACCTAGTTGTGAACTGTGCTGACTCCCTTTTGTGCTAGTTCATGTGGATAACGCAATGCCCCGTTGGCATGCACTCACTCTGAGAAGCTCAGGTCAACAGTAAGTGTCCTGGGCACTGCTTCGAGCCCCTGGCAGCATCGCATCAGTTCCTTTGAAGCTTCTAAGGAAGCTGTTTTCCCAAATCCCTCCTCGGGGCATTTTTCTTCATGTTTAATGCTTCTCTCATCAACCTTTTAATTGTTTTTATGTCTTTAATCACTGCAGGCGAGTTTATACCGAGGTGGCTACAGCCGATTTGCCCCCTACTGAAGTGACGTGAGACCCTGCAAGTGGGACAGCCCCCAGTTCATGAGGCCTGGCTATTGCAATATTTACTAGTAGAGGAACTCTATAGCAAGATGAAGAGGAAAAACAAACAAAACAAAACAAAAAAAAAAACACAAAAAAAGAGAGAATACTTTTTTATACCTCACTATGTTCTTTGAATATGTATTTTTCCTTTAAATTTCTGCCTTTAATTCTTTTGTTCCAAAGATTGTGCATTTTTTCTTTTTTTTTTCCTTTTTTTTAACTGTGGTAAAAAAAACAAAATGCATTTCCATGTCTGTATGTCCGTGCTTAGCTTTCTGTCAATCACGGAAGAGGCAATTAATGAGGGAGGAGAGAGATTAGGAACTGAGAACTGTGTCTGATCAGAAATCAGCAGACAGAATTACCAAAGTGTATCTGGTGCTGGCCGGCGGGGGGACACACAGAAGCGGGAGAGATCTTTCTGCAACAGGATAGTCTTCTAGTCTTCTGAGTTTCTGGTCTTTGGCAGGCAATTCTGATTGGTTGTGGCTGGAACCCACATGCTAATGGATGATAGGAATTTGTGCTTGCCAAGCAGGAGAATTAAAAATTCACTTTCCTCTCCTCTTCCCTCCTGTCTTCTCCATTCTTTTTACAATCATCTTACATGCACAGCCTGAGACAGTTGGCAGAGTTTTTGGAATTATAATATTAATATTTCCAAACTTGCTCTCAGACTGTGGATAATAAACACCTCATTAGGAAACGAATCTCAGAATGAACTCTGGAGTATGAAAAAGATTCTTTTCTTTCTTGCCATCCTAGCAAACAGCTTAGCTCATCTATCCTTTTATGAACACCCTGCCCCATGTCCTCAAGATTCAGGAATTTAGGACCCAGGGACAGAAAAATAAATAAATAGCTAGTGGCCAGCTTTCTTCCCGGACATGGTTTGAGGATGAAGTACAACCTGTCAAGAGCCAGTACAGAGGGTCGAGAGAAGAGAAAGGATGTTAGGCCGTGTCTGCAAGGCACTCTGATACTCCCGATCTTCCTCTTTCATCAGAAATTCAGTGCAGAGTGCAGGACAGAATGAAGACTTGGCAAGAGACAAGCACCGCGTCCTGGGTCAGCTGTCCCTGGAAGGCTTGGTGGCCAGGGCCTGTCAGGGCGGCGATGGCACTGTACTAGCTCCAAAGCCATAGGAATGTCATCCTCCAGAGCCTTTGTGAGTCACTTCTCTCTCCAGTCTTGAGCCCCTGTGGCCCTTCCACCCAGCTTCTCATTATCCTCCAAAGACCCCAGCTGAGCACCTGGACCAGTTGGTATTTGTGAACACTACAGGACAGAAAGCACGAAGCCCCGAGGCTGCTCTCCCGTAGAAAAGGAGGCAGAGATGGCCAGGAGTTACGGGGCAGCCCGTGCAGTGGGTCACTGCTGTTGCTGCCTGCCTTCCCCTGTGTGTGTGATCGAGGTAGGGAAGAAAGTGTTTCTCTTCTAGCTGTTAGCTGTTACCGATAGAGGCAAGGGTCTTGCCTTTGCAGCATGAAGGCATAGAAAACAGAAAAGCACTGTCTGTCTGGCTCCCTGGTCTATTCACATTGGTACTAGGGTGACCTTTCACCCCAGGGATTCAAAGACACGGAGCTTCCGGTGTGTTATGGGTTTGGTTTTGGTTTTTTAACTCCTGCCTCCACACATGTTCTTAACTGATAACTGATTCGTGTCCCTGAATTAAAGTGACTGACATACGACAGCATCAAGCATTCTTTGTATGCAGAGGCTTGTATCTGGGAGGAACTGGCCAGTCGGATAGCATACATGTCTCTCCCCTTGGGGGTCCTCTGCCCTAGCAACTGGGAGAGAGGCTGACCCTGAAACTAGGGGAGACATCATGGAAGCTAGAGGCCTCGATGCAATTCTTGTTGATTCTGGGGATTGTGTAGAATAGGGGACACCAAACTGCCCAGTCCACTGGCCACTTAAGGGTTCTCCTCCCCAAGCCAAAGTTTGGTTTGTTGCTGTGAAGACAGTTTTTGTTGTGTGTATATAAATCTTTTAGTTAGCGGTGGGGGGTGGGAATTTCTAGAGAATGGGGGCAGGAGGATTTCTTTTTCTTACTTTCTTTTGTTTTGAGGGAGAGCTTTTACTGACTAAAGGAACCGAGAGAGATTTCGTGCCATGTTCCAAGAGGGCCATTCTCACAGAATGGCAAGACACCCCTTGGAGACAAGGCCACATTCTGAACAGCTGTGTCCGCAGCAGGAAGGAGGGCAGTGAGCTTGAGAGTCTTGTCTTCTCTTCCCCAGAAAGGGATGAGGGTGAAGGGAAGGGTGGAGAAGGCAGCTCCCATGACCCCTTTAAGAGGCAGAGCTTGAGCGGGAGCTACCCTTTGTGCATTTCAGTTCAGCTGGTTCTGGCTGAGGACCCCAGGCAAGCTCCGTGTTCTCCGAGGGCTTCTGCTGCCTTCCAGGCGGTGGTAACACGGCTCCCTCTAACTCCTTCCTGAGCAAGACCAGATGAGTTCTGCTTCTCACTATCGGGCCTCTAGTTTTGGGTATCCACACTAAGAAGCAGGGCTCGGAAACCCCTGGATTTGGCAGTATTGGCCTCCCATCCACCTTTGAACTTGGAGACTCCATCAGAGGCAGGTTCCTCAAGGCATCAGAGCTTGTCCATTCCTGGCTCGAGTCCCCACTGGACAGCCGAGTCAGAAGAGTGTTTGGCATCTTGTGAGTTCGTTAGCGCATGCTGGTTGATAATTCCTAAAAACACTGATGCTGAGTCGCCGTGCAGGAGAGATTTCAGCAGCTTACTTAGCTCATGACGTGGACTTTCTATACTAAGCATCTTACTCTTAGAAGCTGGGCTCCTTCGAGGAGACCCCTAGTGGAGATCTTTATCTAAACATGCCTCTTTCCCCCCAGAATCCCTAGTGTTACCCAGCGCAGCTCCCCAGGACCCGGATCAGGGTCATCTGTGGCCATTCGTCCTTTCTGAGGCTCAGGTTTCACAAAACCTACCATCACCCTTATCCTCCAACAGCCACAGTCAGAACGGAGCCTCTTATTTTCCTTCAAAAGGAAGGGGGCTGGGGCTCAGCTCTTAGTTCAAGGGGAGCTAGTGGAGATCTATTTCCTAGAAATAAAGGATAGCAGCTTTTCTTCACAAGTGTGACTCCTCAGGGGCTGAACTGCTCTTTGTGTAGGTTAGACTCTCCTAGAGGTAGCCGGTCAGTCGGTGAGTCGCCATCACCCAGTGACTAATCACGTAGCTTCCAGGTAGGAGGGAGGTGGGAACTTGGGATGGAAGCAGCTCCGAGGATCTGCGGGGCGGGCTTGATCACCCCCCTGCCCTCCGGCAGGAGAACGAGGCCAAGCGAGGGACAGTCTGGAAGGCACTAGACACGTAAGGAGGGAACGGGGACGGTGTCCGAACCCTCCCCTTTCGCCAAGGCCGGCCGCTTCTCTGCTGCTTGCAACCCTTTAGCACAGTAACATTGGCAGAATTCCAGATTTTACCCCCACCCTCACCCCACCCCCGGATAATAGGAGGAAAGAGACCTTGGGGGGTAGGGAAGAGGTAGTGGTGTTTTAAAAGCATAAGTTACTTGTTTGCACTGTTTTAAGATAGGAAAAAAATAGTGGGCAAGGTGAACATCAAACGTAAATTTGTGTGTTTTTATTTTGTCTTGCTCTTGAAAATGTTTGACCATTTGTAGTGTACACAGTGAAACTTGATTCTCTGTTGCATAAAACACTATTTTATTTTATTTTTTGAAAATGTTACTGTTCAAAAGCCTCTTCCCTCCCTTTCCCCTTTCCTCTGTACTTCCTTCATACTTGCTTTACTGATCAACCAGGCCATAGCCATCCAAGTGCTAGCTCTTAGTGTAAGGGGAGCTAGCAGAGCATGAAGCAGGGCCCTTCGCAAGTCGGCTCCGGGTGTCCTAAGCCAGCACGTGCCCTCTGGTGGAGTGAGTGTGGCGGAGTCCCTGGCACCAGTCTTTACAGTGAGACTTGCAGACCAGACTACAGCCGGTTCTCAAATTCCTGAATCCCACGAGGAGCCGAGGCGCAGGAGTGCTGGAGGGTCGCAGTTGGCTGTGGGGGCTGAGTTCCCGTCCACGTCACCAGCACTGCAGCCAGTTAGTTACTCAGGAAAACGGTCGATCACTTCAGCCATGGTGGTGCTGGTTGGCAGGGATCGGTAACAGAACGTCCATCAGCCAACATTCAACCTTGCCTTTAAGGAGCCTGCCAGTGCGGCACTCAGGCCTCTGTCGGCATGCGCCCTGTGTGCCGGCGGTGAGGGCTCAGGTCACACTGCAGGCAGAAAGGGAACATTGGTTCTCTTCTCTCTCCCCACCCCCTGTCCCTGTTAGCAACACCAGATTCCCAGGGGGGTCCACGAGTTTTTGAATTAAAAAAAAAAAATGGTTTCTTTTGGTTTAGTTTTTCTGGGGACTAAGTGCTTTAAGCAATGTCGGTACCCCATCAAGACTCCGAGCTTAGTCATTTTCCTGTATTTTTCTGTTCACAGTATTTGTGTGTGTGTGTGTGTGCTTGTTTTGGCAGCTCATTTTGGCTGTATTATATATCGAGTGATGAATTGATCCTCTTTTTTCCCTAAGGGATATGAATTGTTTTTCTTGTGTTATAATTCTGCTTGTGAAAAGCTGGAGCAAACCTGGGGCTGACACACGTAAGCTAGGGCTGCAGAGCTGAGAGCCAGGGTCCCTGTTCCCGGCAGGCGGGCCCCCTGAGTCTCTGAGCTCTTCAGTCCAAATCTTTGCAAGGCTCAAAACGCCACAGCACCTCTCCTCCCACCCCCGTGGCAGGGACTGAACCGTCCTCCACGCCACATGCACTCTCTGGCCCCTCCCATTGCCATGGCAAACAGGTACCTTCGGGGCACGGGGGCATCACGTGGGATGCTTGTGTAACTGACCACCTCGCCTTCTCTCCCTCCCCTCCCCTCCCCGGATCACTTCCTAGGACCCCCGAGCTGCTCGCCCAGGGTCCCGTTTCCCTGCGGACTCCAGAGAAGCACCCAGGGCTTTGTGACAGCCTCTGACTCCCTCCCTTCTCGTTAAGAATCATATTGTATAGTAGCTTTCAGACCATACAGTATTCATTGGGTTACTCCTATTATTATCAAGTAGCTGGAATTGTGAAGGTCGGAGTAGTTAGATCTTTAGCTTTTATTCCTTATTTTTTTTTGTATTACTATCCATGTGTATAAATTATTGATCATGTTGCTGGCTTTTATAAACTCTACGCGAAGGGGGAGCACCGCCTCTGCCTTTGCCAATGGTAATGAAGCACTGTTTTTAAATAAAAGAGAGAAACACCATTCTCTGGCCTGTGTGTGTGTGTGGATCCATCATCCCTGTTGCCTCCTGGAGGCTCAAAGACACAACGTGGATTTGACTTCAGATGAAAAAAGAAGGCGGCAAATGGCTTCCTAAATGTGTGAGCCGCCTAACGGGGTCACGAGAGGTCAGCGAGGCCCGGGCGCGGGAGCCTCCCTGTGGCTGTGCAGAGCTGCTCCGGTGCTCCTGCTTCTGCGGCTCCTCGCAGCCTCAGCCTCACTGCCTCACCCCATCCGCTCCGACTCCTGACTGCTGGCCACACCGTGACCCCCCGGCCCAGTCCACCCACTTGACCTTCCTGCAGCCTTAGGCACCTTCCTGCCTCCCCTCTGTCGCTGCCTTCCCTGGCTCCTGAGCCTTCTCCTTACCTGCAGGAGTGCTCTCCACGGACCCGCCCGCCCTTTTCTTTCTTACCTGTGCTTTCTCGGCCATCCCTCTGGGCAGGAGTTCCCCGACCTCTGACCTTCTGTTTCATGGAGAAGATCAGCCATCGCAGGGAGCTCCTGGGTGAACTCTGCTTCCACATCTGCACCTACCCGAGTTCACCCGTTCTCCCCTCGCTCCTGCTCTCCTGGAAGAGGGGTCCGTCCTCTCCCGCCTTCTCCAGCGTGGTTAACCTTTGCCCTCTAGTTCCTGTGGCATTTACCGTATTTGCCGGCATATAAGACGACTGGGCGTATAAGACGACCCCCTAACATTTCCACTCAAAATACAGAGTTTGTTATATACTCGCCGTATAAGACTACCCCCTCTTCCGCACACCTTCCACACACCAAATAAAAGGTAAAACAATATCAGATTTGATTTTAACATTTTAA